TTGAGGAGAGGTGAATGTGGGGTTGTTTGGATTAAGGAAAAGATGGTGAGAAATGAGAAGAAAGTTTGAGTGATTTGATTGACGTAGATGATAAAAAAAATGTTTTAATAAATGAAATTGTAAGATGACCAAATTACCCCTACATGGAGCAACCTCCTATGTTTGTTACTTAGGAGGAGTCTAAATTGTTTTGTAAATTGTGTTTCTATGGTTTCAGCAATCTTCACTTACATGGTTGGGAAAATTTAGTCGCATTGTTCAAATCTTTGAGCTGAAACACTATGAAACAAATCATTTTATCTTTTACTGTAATACCTCCCTTGGAAAATGTGATTACTTAATAATGTGTGTTAATGATATATAGTCATTATAGGAAATGAAGCTCCTAAATCTATTAGCTAAAGAAACGCTTGTACAATTATTTTCAGACCAAGGATCTTGAATATCTCATACATTTTAGGCATCAAGGTAGCCCAATCAAAGGAAGGAATTGACAATTCTCAAAGAAAATATGCTCTAGATATCCTAAAAGAGGGTATGATTGACTATAGACTAGTGGATAGTTCTATGAACCCAAATAAAATATTAACGAGAGCAGGATGAATCTTTCTCTGACCTAGAAGGATGCAGAAGACTTTTTTTGTAGTTGGTATTGTCAATCAGTTCATTGATGATAGGAATGCTGTCTTTTGTGGTCTAAGATACATCTAAAGGCCCCAAGACAAGGTCTATTATATGAAGATATAGAGACTAGCCAAATCTTTGAGAATTGTAATGCTAATTATTCAAGATCTCCTATGAACAGAGGTTCTAATACAAGATATTGTCTCTTCACTAGAGGAAATATTATTTCTTGGAAAAGCATGAAACAAAATGAAGTTTCATTATGGACTGTTGAAGTTGAATATAGGGCCATGGCATCTCCCATTTATTAACTTGTGAGTAAAACAATTCCTTCATAACTAAAGTTGAGGTTCAGCAAATGAAGATGTATTGCAATAATCAAGAAACTCTCCACATTGTTTTCAATTTATGTTTCATGAAAGGACCAAACACAAATTGTCTTTCATTTTATTCGAGAAAAGTTGTTGACCAAGGCAATTTATATCGAGTTTGTCAGATCTAATGATTAACTTCCATATGCATTAACAAAATCCTTGAGAGGGTCTCACGTTGAATTTAGTTGTTCCAAACTTGATACATTCCAGCTTGAAAGGGAGTGTTAAAAATAGGTTTAAAACAAGCTTTATTAGAAAGTTAATTTGAATTATACCTATCTATATCTAGGGTCTTAGAGGTGCGTTTAAATGTGTTGATATATATTGTATTGTATAATTGTACTTTTAGTTTTTGGGCTTTTATGTGCTGGTCTGTTTTATGTGAGGCGGATCACTCAGTGTTTTATGGTCATTTTTCTCCTGACAAATGTGTTTATCTCATGGTGTATGTTGATGATATTGTTATTACAGGGAATGACAACACTAAAATTACTCAATTAAAGAATCATTTGTTCAACCACTTTCAGACTAAAGATCTGGGTCGTCTAAAATACTTCCTTGGTATTGAAGTAGCACAGTCAAAAGAAGGTGTCATCATTTCACAAAGGAAATATGCTCTTGATATTTTAGAGGAAACAGGCTTGACAAATTGCAAGCCTATTGATAGTCCTATGGACTCAAATCAAAAGCTAATGAGAGATCAAGGTGAACCTTTCTCAGATCCAGAGAGATATAGAAGGCTGGTTGGAAAACTCATATATCTTACAATAACAAGACCTGATCTTTCTTATCCAGTGGGAGTTGTGAGTCAATTTATGCAGAATCCACATGTTGACCATTGGAATGCAGTGATTCGAATTCTCAGATACATAAAAGGAAATCCAGGACAGGGATTGTTGTATGAGGACAAGGGAATCACTCAGATTGAAGGATATTGTGATGCAGATTGGGCTGGTTCTCCAATTGATCGAAGATCTACTACAGGATATTGTGTTCTACTTGGAGGGAACCTTATATCTTGGATAAGTAAGAAACAAAGTGTTGTTGCTAGATCTAGTGCTGAAGCTGAATACCGATCTATGGCTTTGACTACATGCGAACTTGTGTGGATCAAGCAACTTCTCCAAGAGTTGAAATTTTGTGGAAATGAGTCGTTTAAACTTTACTGTGACAACCAAGCAGCCCTTCATATTGCCTCCAATCCAGTGTTTCATGAGAGAACAAAACATATAGAAATTGATTGTCATCTTATTAGAGAGAAGTTGTTACTACTTTTTGACATTCAAAGTTCGTGTGATAATACTTTTTGACATTCAAAGAGACTGTGGACTTTGCTTAGTTCATGTTTATTTTTTTCAATATAAATAAAGCATATGTGTTGGCTTAGATTCACGGTTTCAGCTCAATATTTCTCTCTTCCCTGGAGTTTAACCGTGCATATAAGCCTTTTCAAAACCGTGTTGGTCTTGTATACTCACTATCCCCGGAGGATTTTTTTTCTACGAATCTTTCTCTCAGATTCGCTCACTGTTTTGGCACCCTCTCCCTTTCCTCCAACTTTTCTGGAAAAAGAATGTCATCCAACACCAAATCAACCTCCAAAATAGATTCTCCCATCCTTTCTAACCATATCGTCAATAATGAGAAAATGGATGGGTCTAAATACTCCACTTCCATTGTTGAGACACAAGTTGTTGTGAGTTCCTGGCTTATACATCTCCAACAACAGTTTAAGACTAAATCAAATGGTGACCAATCCGCTAGTACAACTTGTTTTGTAGCACACACTAGTAGTAATTCTTCAACTTGTCACTCTATCGCCTTCTCTTGGTCCTTGGGTTATTGATTCAGATGCAACTGCTGACATATTTGGTAATCGTTATCTTTTCTCTTCTTTTACTAAATCGAGCAATTTGTCTTTTATAACTGCTTCCAATGGTTCATAAACAAAAGCTTGTGAAAATGGTATTCCAACCTTTCTCATCCCTTACTGTTGACTAAATTCTTTATGTCCCTAATTGCCCTTTTAATTTATTGTCTTTTACCTAATTGACCCAACCCCATGATATTCTTCTTACCTTCATTAAAAACAATGTTACCTTGCAAGATCGAACATCAAGTCGGACAATTGATGTTGGATGTGAGTCACATAACATTTACTACCTCTAACATCATCTTTATGTGAATCAATGGTCTCTCCAATGCTTATATATGCTCAATTAGGACATCTCGAATTAAAAAAATTACAGATTATAAGAATAAGGAATTGATCCTATATAACTAGGAATATCTAGATTATATATGTATTATTAAAAACTTCTTGGTTAAATCACTTCCGCGGTTCCTATTTCTGTTGGGTTTTCTCAAATAGGTCCATTTCTTATTTTTTTTTCCCAATTGAGTCCCTAAAAGTGAAAAACTAAAGCAATTGACTCTCTGTTATTAAATTGGGTTAACGAGTTAACTTTCAGGTGATGTGTCAGTGTGAGGTTGAATAATTAAATGACGTGGCACATTCAGAGCAAGTTATGTGGAATATATAATTAGAAAAAAAGTTTCTGAGAATTGAAACCCAAATTAGGGTTCATCATCTTCAACCTTACCTTTCATCATCTTCAACCCTAGCGATTGATGCTCAGGGTTCATCACGAAATTAGGGTTTATGAAATATGAAATTAAGCACCACCAATTTAGGGTTTATCAAAATCAAATTGGGTTCGAGATTAAAGACACAACAAATCACAGATTCATAGAGTTCGAGATTGGAGTGGAGTCCAATGTCTCCTAGGGCCTCTCCTTCGAAATTAGGGGTTTTCTCATGCTTCTGTTTGCGCGAGAGAGATGAACTCGCAATGGGTTTCTGCTTTTGTGTTTGTGATGTCTCTAGGTTTGCAGGTTGGTGGATTTGTGACGAAGGAGACTTGCGGAGATGAAGGATGTGTTGGTTCTCACAATTGCTCGAAGAAGGAGAAACGAAGGCGCTGGAGCTCTCACGGCGTGGTCTCGTGGCGGCGCAAGGAGTTCGTGATTCCGTGTTTTGCGCAACTAGGGTTTGCGATTCAGATGCAATTGGAGAGCTCGAACACGATTTAGGGTTATGCGTTGATGGAGATGAAGTAGTATCGAGCGGCGCTCGCGATTAGCGTTCGATGGTTTTGCGATTTATGGGCTTTACTGTGTACATGTTTCATGGCGCGAAGAAGGATGATGGAGAAGGCTGCCATGGTTGTGCGTTTTGAGCTTGAACGGTGCTGACGGCGGCAACTTCGCGTTGCGGAGGATGGCGTGGTGGTGGCCACAATTTGGTTGCATATCAGCAACGGTTGTGGTTGTTGGTAGCATTGTTGAGCGAGAAACGGCGGTCCAGTGGCAACAAATCAAGGAATATGTTTTTTAATTATATATTCCACGTAACCTGTACTGCATATGCCACGTAATCTAACATAACGTCACGTATTTAAAATATTCCACATCAAACTGATAGCTCATGAGAAAGTTAACCCGTTAACCTCATTTAACTGCAGGAAGTCAATTGCTTCAGTTTTTCACTTTTAGGGACCCAATTGGAAAAAAAAATAAGAAAGGGACCTATTTGAGAAAACCCAACAGAAACAGGGACTGCGGAAGTGGTTTAACCAAACTTCTTTATTTATTCCTGTACCATGTACTAACTATTAGAGGAAATCAAATCTCCTCTGTTAATTGTATTGATTCCTTTTTCTCAATCAATACAAATAAAGCACTCATGTTGTCTTAGAAACACACAGATTCAGCTCAATGTTTCTCTCTTCCCTCAAGTTTAACAGTGTGACAGTGCATACCTGTTAAAACATCATGCATAGTTGACTTTGCTTTCCTTTTTTTTTTTTAAGGTTTTGTATTAACAGAAGATAAAATTGTGTACTCATTCGTAGTGTCACAGGATGAAAATACAAGCAAGTATTATGAAATCTAACTTCAGGATTATGATATAATTTTTTAAATCCTCCCTTTTTCACATACCTTAGTAAGGATTGGCTTCAATGTCCTACATGGACCACATGTTGGTGATGTATATAATACACATATAAGCCTTGGACTTTCATGGTACAATTTTCGTAGAGCATACTGTAAAGAGGAAATCACAAGGCAAACAACATATTATAGTGTGGACGTCACAAATAATAAGACTTAATCCTATCAACATCAGCATCTGATTAGGAAACACATACCTGTCCCTTATGCTTTGTAAGTGTAATGTCAAAGCCCTCGTGAACATCCCTTTCTGTTAGTTCCTTCTTAACCTCTTCAGTTTTGGGCTGTTACAAGTAATTAAATTGGAAGGTTGAGATTCACATTGGATTCAGTTGCACGAATCAACTGGTTTAATGTAAAGTCTGTTTTCCTTAAATTAGTAATTAAGAATTAATATATAGTATTAACTAGCACCAGTTTTATGATAGCTAAAGCAATATAACTTAACTTTAGCAAAAGAAGAAATATTTAATATGAAATACATATAGTAGTTCGGTATATCATTTATTCATATTTTCTCCCAAGATATGTCCTTCCTGTGGAAATATCCCAAAGAGAAATAGATGACAAGCTACTTGGGAAAACCTGTTCATAAAATTAAGGGTAGGTGGTAAATGGCTTCCATAACCAGGTCCATCACCAATAACTAGAGCCTTTCACTACTTGCTTAGATCATATTCAGGTAAAATATTTTAGAGTAAATTATTCATAGATAGCTTTTCAGATACCAAACGTGTTTTATGTAATGATTAAAGAAAAGCTAGAGTCTTTCGCTACTCCAGCCATATTCAGGTAAAATATTTTAGAGTAAATTATTCATAGATAGGTTTTCCAATACCAAACGTGTTTTGTGTAATGATAAAAAAAATAGAATGGCTAATACAGCTCAGCTTTTTTATGTTCCTCTGAATAAATGTTCAACAAGAAAATAGCTCCTACTTCACACCTCACGATGTCATTAAAATAGAAGTTAAGTGCATGCCGATGAAACGAGAGAAACCCGCAATATTGGTCAACAAAAATAGTCCCGTGTAATTGAGTTCAAAAGTCAACTGAGAACTATATTATCACTTCCCACAAAATATTAGCAAACCTTCAATATGGATTATGAAGAGTATCCGTTACAAAGAATGAGGAAGTGAGGAGAATTAGAGCTAAAAGATCCTATTAATGGAAACATCTGTTATTAATAGAAATAGCAGAGTAACTACAGGAACAGCTTAGGGCCTCTTTGTTTTAAATTGTGTAAAATTGATTTTGATAAAATTAATATTGTGCCGTTGAGTTAACTGGGATGTGTGCCCAAATTAATCTGAACTATAATGTCACTGTAAGAGTACTTGATTCAGGGTGTATAACAAATAAGCCCTTAGTTGAGTACTGTACAGAGAGAGAGACAGAGAGAGAGAGAGAGAGAGAGAGAGAGAGAGTAGTTACAACGCAGTTCAAGAGAAAAATAGGAGAGTGTTGATTGTTTTGGAAAGGAGAACATCCACGTCTCATGATTATAAAGACATGGGAGGGAGAGAAAGTTCAGCTCTGCTCAACAATGTTATTGATATTCGTTCGCTATCACCTTGTTATCAATTCCGAGATTGCTTGATCAATAAAAATTATTTTACTGTATTTTACTTCTTGCCCTGCTGTTCTATAACAAATTTAAATGACTTAATAAAGAAAATTCTATGGCTAACTTCATTATCCACTAACAATTAGATACACGGTCTTTATTAAGTCATGTAAAGTTATCCAAATTATAGAACATATAAGTTTGTCATACAAATCTTGCCAAAATTGCATATGCTTCTGTAGAATGTATAATTAAGACTAGAATAATAAAGATATATTAAATTGGTAACGTGATTTGTAGACTTAGTCTACAGTGTTATTTATGCGGAAAAGGAACAGTGAGTGAAAATAAAATAGGAGTTCTTTGAAGTAAAATACCTGATGGAACTCTACAAGAAGATCTTTGCTCACAAGATATCTCTCAACTGATAAAGCTGCAATGCATCCAGAACCAGCAGCAGTTATAGCTTGCCTCCATTCATGGTCCTATAAGAATAAGAAAGAACTTTTATAAATATACTTAGGACAGTTACTTTACTGCATTTTTTATTCAGTCAATAAAATTTCCGGTAAATTTGCTTAGTCAAACATATGTTCAGTTTATGTACTACAGCATCATACTTCAATTAAGAAGGAAAAGGGTCAAAATCCTGTCCCCATAAAATGGCACATCAAATGCTGCCTCAGCACATCAAGTGGGTTTGCCAGACGATGTAGAACTTCTCAACAAACACAGAGAACAAATGATGCTATTGTGCTATGTTAAAGACTGTTAAAACGGTATACTATAATACATCAAGTCATTAATTATTTTAGGCAATGTAGTGTTGATTCTAATATGCTAGAACAATCAACTACATAAGCAGAAGGCACTCAATAGGATAGGATACCTGCACATCTCCAGCAGCAAATACACCGTCAACTGAAGTTTTTGCAGTACCCTCCTCAACTAGTACATAGCCAGAGTGATCAAGTTCGACTTGGCCTTTCAACAATTGTGTATTTGGTGAATGGCCTATGCCATAAAACAGCCCTTTTGCCTCAAGCACAGATTCCTCCCCAGTGTCAACCTTCCGTATTAAAATGCCAGACATCTGTCCTTTGGTGTTGCTTACAAGATCCACTGTCTCTGTATTGAAGTGCACGGTGACATTGGGATTGTCATACACTCTGAAACATTCGTGATAATCAACCTGTTAAACAAACATTCAGGTAGTTGAAAACTCACATACAAAAGTTTTATTAGTGGATAATTCACCATCACAAAGAAAACAAAGATAGATGATACAAATTCCATTGTTTTGTCTTATAAAAAATTTAACAGAGTTAAGCAACTTCTTGAGTATCTATAGTCTAGAGAATACCCAAAACCAGGTTCTATTTAGTCTCTTCTTTAAGACAAGCATTCACTTCTAGACCACCAGATAAAATTATTTTTATAAGAATGTTTCCACTATGTAATATCTTTGGGCTCAGCTTAGAAACGTTGACTATGTCATAGATCACAGCAAAATTTTACCATGTGCAAAACAAAAGTAAACTCTTTCCACAAAATACATCATGCTAGAATGAAGATCTATAACACCATAGCATAATTTCAAAACCACTACGGAACTATAATTTTGAAAAGAAATTTAATATAATTCTAATATTTAGCCATAAATGTAAAACATTTTATTCCCAAAATAAATTATATCTCTTCCTGAATTAAAATGGTATCATAACATGATACAATTATTTTTCAAGTCTACAGGAACTACATAGATAATGACAAATATTATCAAAGAAAATATGCTTATTATCCAATGATGCATTTTGCAAGAACGTGATTGTGATCAAGTAACATCTTTGCTTACGTCTTTACATGGATATGAAGAGTGAGGAACTGTTGTTTCCCATGACTGAGAATAATTAAGATAAAATGTTCTATGTCCTTAGGATAATATAGTTTTCATATACACCATAAAGCGAGGTAGAAGCAAAACCTTAATCTAGGATATATTTTGCAAGTAGGTCAAAAGAAGCTTGAACTTGGCTAACTAAAGGCCCACATATAAAGCATTGAAATAGAGAATGCTAAAAATTCACTTAGAGATAAAAGAAATTATCATCATGTGTATGGCAAGTAAACAAAATAGGAACCTAAAAGTATAAGGTAACAAATAAAGAACATATTGTTCATAATAATACATATATAAAGGTTCAGCAACAGAGAATCCACTACAGACAATAAGATTAAAAAAAAGATCTAAGAAAGATTGTATAAGACTCTATCTTTCCCACTGGATTAGTTTGAGCGAGTGTGTGGGGGAGAGAGAGAGAGAGAGAGAGAGCTGAAGTTATACAAAATGAAGTGTATATAAGTAGGTAATTACCAAGTTCAATTTATAGATTGTTCATGATACACTCAGACTATATTCACAAGCAAGAAACGACAAATTTTAATCAGACACACCTATCTTGCATAGCTTTGGAAGCCCTCAGTTGGTCCCGACGTACAAGTAAATGGACATGGCGAGCATATTTTGTCAAGTATAATGCTTCTTCTGTAGCAGTATCCCCCCCTCCAATGACAGCGAGAACTTGACCTTTGAAGAGAGGAGATGCTCCATCACAAATTGCGCAAGCACTAATTCCTCGGCTCCAAAATTCATCTTCTCGAGGTAGCCTGAGTCGTTTTGCAGTAGCTCCAGTAGCAAAAATGACAGTATGGCTCTTAACCTGAAATTCAATCAAGAAAACCTGATGTGACTACAACTGCTTTTCTTCCCAATAAACACAACCAAAAAGATAATAAAATTAAACAAACATATCGAAAGATTAAAAGTAATGGCAATAATTTCAGCATATCCACCGTAAATTGAGTGACGTTCAAGCCAGGACCCACATTACGAAGGAAATATACTTCCTATATTAATTTCAAAATAAAAGCTTTTACCAAATATGTACAAGAATTTGCATAAATTTAATTCCAAACAAGAAAAGCATCACTAGGTGGATTAAGAAAATCAATAAAAATAAAAGATAAAACCTTGAAGCTTTGGGAATATCAATATGTCTACGCAATCATGAAATTGTAAATCAGCTTGCTGCTAGTGAATATATCACCTTACGTTCACTACTTTGGACAGTGAAAGGGCTACTTTTCACATCAATAGCTTCAACATCTTCCTGATGCAATTCTGCACCCCAACGTTCAGCTTGCCGTCGCATCCTGGATAAGCAGAAAATGTGAGAATTCCAAAGCCAGGTGAGTGAAAACAATTACAAAGTAGTTTTAACACCTGTCCATCAGATCAGGTCCACTGATGCCATCAGGAAATCCTGGAAAGTTCTCCACTTCAGTTGTAGTCATTAATTGTCCCCCAGGGACACCACCAACTTGGTACCCCTCAAACACCACAGGTTTCAAATTGGCACGTGCTGCATATATTGCTGCTGTGTATCCTGCGGGGCCGGAACCTATAATTACCACATTTTCAACTCCTTTTCCTGTGAGAAGAAAAAGGATGCCACAATCAACTTTTCACGTCTATCAATAACAAAAGAAAGACTATACAAGAGAATTACATTGTCACAAAATAAGCACAAACTCAAGTAAAATCCAATAATAACATTCTCGGTAAGTAAAAAGCCAACGGTACTACAATTAGAGAAGACATTAAACTTCTACAGTCATTAAAGCAACAACTGCCAGAAAGGTCGACACTAGCTTTGGGCCGAGAGAACTGGGCTAATCAAAGAGTTTTAACATGCATTGTCAATGTAAGTTTTTTACATTTTCAAGCAATAAAGTCATGACCTTAAAACAATTATAGTAAAAGTTAACAAATTTTCCATACATAATGGTTGGTAAACCTTGACATTGTCAATGCATACAACAATTTACTCAAGGAAATAACCAAAAAAATTAGTAACAATGATGATGATGAGAATGCGTTTATTCAGTAGTCTACATGACTAAGTGAGGCTAGTCAATCCCCACCAAGACAAGCCAGAACAAATAATTAACAATCACACAGCACAATGCAAGCTTTTCGCTATAAAATGCCAAAACTACCTTCCAAACTCCAAGTTTTTGATGCCTCCATCTCAAATACTCGTTCTTGACAATTAAATACAAATTATCAAGCCCGTAGCTACATCCCACCATCTTTTCCATCACCGAATCGTCATGAAACTGTTTCCCTTACCTTATATCAATTGCTAAAGCTTAAAACAAAAACCTTATTGACTAGTCTAAATGATAATGATGAAGATGATGATGCCCTTATTGACTAGTCTAAATGACTAACTGAGACTGCAATCAAACCTCACAAAGACAAGCCACGACACACGACACTCATTCAACAACCACACAATTCAAGCTGTTCGCTCTAAAATTGCAAAACAGCCTTCTGTCTCAAATGCCTGTTCTCACGAATGAAATACGATTTATCTAACCCCGTACCTACCACCCACCATTTTTCCCAACACCCAATTCTCACCACACGTTTTCCTCACCTTTGTGATCAATTCCAATCAAACGTCACAGCTTAAACCCCAATCCTAACTACACAGCTGCCACTCAAAAATGATTAGCAATGCAGACTTATCCCCCACACTAGCACCACCATCAATACTCGCTCTCATGCTTCAACACCGATCCTCCAAAACCAACTCACAATTCGAAACACAACAAAACCTCGTTTTCTCCGAAAATCTCCAAAGCAAAGCTTAATTGAAAAAGCAAAACAACAAAAACAAAATTAAAGACAAATCGCATTGAATTCGCCGCACGGCCACATTCACGCAAAGTAGTAGTAGTCGCGGCGAGGAAAGACCTGGCGCAGCGACGGAGGAGGAGGAGGAGGAGGCGGCGGCGGCGGCGGCTACTCGAAGGGGTTGGGGGGAAGGGCGGGGTCTGAGGGCCCGCCGCGAGTTGAGGAGAAAGAGGCGGTGCTGTGGCGGCGGGGAGAATGCGGCGGATGAAGGAGCGGCGACGGAGGTGACACGGTGAGTCGGGACGGGACCAAGTCCGAGTCCTATCTTGGTAGCAGCCATTGGGCTCTTTGAGACCATACAAACTGCATAAGCGACTTAAAACAGTTGAAGCGCTTTCTCTTATGTTTTCTGGTTACTGGAGCGTGCAACACACGCACTCCAACCAAATCCTTTCGCTGCAAAAATTTGGCTCCTTCTGCTATTAAATCGACCAGAATTTTTGTTCTTAGCCTCCGAAAATTTTCCAACACTAAATATTACCTTTTTTTTTTTTCTCACTAGATATTTCAACTCTGCTTCTGATATTTGTATTACTAAATCCTGTAAAAAGAAGCAAAAGCTATACTACATTTTTAACCTAAATCGTAGACCTTAAACCTTGTATGTTTTCTTTTTTTTATAAAAAATTGTTAAATAAATATTAAATAACAATATCAATACAATTTTAATTATTATTTTTAAAAAATAGATGAATTGAAAAGTTAAAGTATGAAATAAGGTACTTTTATTTCTAGTTTTCGGGGTAAAAAGTTGAATATGGTATTAGTGAAGAACAAAGAAAAAACTAAATTAATTTTTTTTATTAAAACAAGCATGAATTAGTTAAAAATGATAGTTATTTAAATTATACAATACGAGAAGCATAAGGAAAATGTTGTTCAATGTGTGTTTACGGATAATATACTGGTAACATTCAATATCATTCAATTATTAATAATTCATAAAAGATTAAAAGATTATATACTAAATTTAATCCAAAATCTTAAAATAATATATATATATATATATATATATATATATATATATATATTATATTTTTATGTATTATTTAACCTTTTTATTTTTATTTAATATTAAACTTAAATTCGAACTGAATTTACGATAATCTTGTTTTTAAGTGAGATTATTTCACATTGATATATTTTATGTCAAATGGATTCATACGATATTATTATAAATCAGTCACTTCGAATTGAATGATCAATTTTGAAATCACTCTTTAGTTATTTGAAAAATACATTAGAAAATTCAACATCAATAAATCATGACCAAATATATATAATAGACCACAATATTGAAAAGTCCTGCGCTATGGAACCTATAAGATTAGATTATAAATTATTCAACCTAAGATTAGATTATAAATTATTGATAACTAAAGTCTTCAAACTTGAGGCTTTTCAGAAGCTCATAAAAATGATAAGAGTGGTTGATTTCAATTAGAGGTGTCAAAAGTAAATCAACTTAACTTATGTGAAATGAGTTAAAAATAAGACAATTTAACTTAATTTACATTTTGATGAACAAAAAGTTTTGTAACCTAGTTTTATCTATCTTAGGATGGTAAATTAAGTGAGTTGCATATCATTAAAATAGATTAATTCAACCCTCTTACATACGACAATACTATAAAGATGTTCATATATTTCACTAATATTAACCACAAATTAGAAAATGGTATTATAAAGGTATTCAGTTAAAAAAAATCAAAATGTTAATTTATATAATTAAAGAAACAAATAAATTAATTTCAGTTATAACTGGTCTTGAAAAAAAATAAAAAAAATGTCAACTTTCATATTTAAAATTACAGTAAACAGTTACAATGAAAAAATTACTAAAATATATTGTTTGTGCATTACGAGTTGGTCCATCTCCAACACAATGTTTACCTAGTTAACCCACTGATAAGTGAATTAAACTAATTTAACTTAGATTTATAAAAACTATTTTTTTTTCAGTCTAATCATAAACACACAGTGAATTAAGTTAGATTATTAGTTTATACTTATTTTGACACCTAGTTTAGATGAAGAAAATAAATTTTCCAAGCTCCATATATTTTATTATTATTTCTTTTAGTTTTAAAACTGTAATCATTTTTTCTAACACAAAATAGAAGATGAGAGAGTAATATCAATTTCTCTAATAAACGACAATAAGTAAAAGACATAGAAAAGACAGCCAATAATTCAATCCTAATTCACCTTATCCAAAGACTAGGATCAATCCTCAGCAACCTATACAAATTTACGCTCTAACGAAATTATATAAACATTATTACATGTATTTAACTCAATATATTTAGAGTTATCTAAGTATTTGTTTTGAATCTTCAAATAAATAATTAAGTAAAACATTGTTTAGCCAAACCTCTTTAAACTCTAAATAGATCAGAAAGAAATACATACAACAGTAACCATAATCAAATAAATTATAAATAATACAAAAAAAAAAATTTGCATTGCATTCCCAGCGGTTTTTGGAACCCCGGTTAGTTCTGACGACTTTCAAACCCTCTACAAATATTGGGAATTTTTCAAAACTTCTGGAAATACCGGCGGTTTCTCAAAACCCCTAAAAATATTGGCGGTTTCTCAAAATTCCTAGAAATACCAACGGTTTCTTAAAACCTCCGGAAATACCGGCGATTTTTCAAAACCTTCGAAAATACCGGCGGTTTTTCAAAAACTCCTGGAAATAGCTGTAGTTAGAGAAAAAAACCACCGGTAACTTAGTGACGCTGTTTTTCTCAGTGATTTTTTGTAACAACGACAACTGTATTTTTTAAGGGTTAAAACCACCAGAAATGTTAAAAAAAATCCTGCTAAAATTTAATATTTTTGTAGTGTAACGTGTTAAAANGAGAGAGAGAGAGAGAGAGAGCTGAAGTTATACAAAATGAAGTGTATATAAGTAGGTAATTACCAAGTTCAATTTATAGATTGTTCATGATACACTCAGACTATATTCACAAGCAAGAAACGACAAATTTTAATCAGACACACCTATCTTGCATAGCTTTGGAAGCCCTCAGTTGGTCCCGACGTACAAGTAAATGGACATGGCGAGCATATTTTGTCAAGTATAATGCTTCTTCTGTAGCAGTATCCCCCCCTCCAATGACAGCGAGAACTTGACCTTTGAAGAGAGGAGATGCTCCATCACAAATTGCGCAAGCACTAATTCCTCGGCTCCAAAATTCATCTTCTCGAGGTAGCCTGAGTCGTTTTGCAGTAGCTCCAGTAGCAAAAATGACAGTATGGCTCTTAACCTGAAATTCAATCAAGAAAACCTGATGTGACTACAACTGCTTTTCTTCCCAATAAACACAACCAAAAAGATAATAAAATTAAACAAACATATCGAAAGATTAAAAGTAATGGCAATAATTTCAGCATATCCACCGTAAATTGAGTGACGTTCAAGCCAGGACCCACATTACGAAGGAAATATACTTCCTATATTAATTTCAAAATAAAAGCTTTTACCAAATATGTACAAGAATTTGCATAAATTTAATTCCAAACAAGAAAAGCATCACTAGGTGGATTAAGAAAATCAATAAAAATAAAAGATAAAACCTTGAAGCTTTGGGAATATCAATATGTCTACGCAATCATGAAATTGTAAATCAGCTTGCTGCTAGTGAATATATCACCTTACGTTCACTACTTTGGACAGTGAAAGGGCTACTTTTCACATCAATAGCTTCAACATCTTCCTGATGCAATTCTGCACCCCAACGTTCAGCTTGCCGTCGCATCCTGGATAAGCAGAAAATGTGAGAATTCCAAAGCCAGGTGAGTGAAAACAATTACAAAGTAGTTTTAACACCTGTCCATCAGATCAGGTCCACTGATGCCATCAGGAAATCCTGGAAAGTTCTCCACTTCAGTTGTAGTCATTAATTGTCCCCCAGGGACACCACCAACTTGGTACCCCTCAAACACCACAGGTTTCAAATTGGCACGTGCTGCATATATTGCTGCTGTGTATCCTGCGGGGCCGGAACCTATAATTACCACATTCTCAACTCCTTTTCCTGTGAGAAGAAAAAGGATGCCACAATCAACTTTTCACGTCTATCAATAACAAAAGAAAGACTATACAAGAGAATTACATTGTCACAAAATAAGCACAAACTCAAGTAAAATCCAATAATAACATTCTCGGTAAGTAAAAAGCCAACGGTACTACAATTAGAGAAGACATTAAACTTCTACAGTCATTAAAGCAACAACTGCCAGAAAGGTCGACACTAGCTTTGGGCCGAGAGAACTGGGCTAATCAAAGAGTTTTAACATGCATTGTCAATGTAAGTTTTTTACATTTTCAAGCAATAAAGTCATGACCTTAAAACAATTATAGTAAAAGTTAACAAATTTTCCATACATAATGGTTGGTAAACCTTGACATTGTCAATGCATACAACAATTTACTCAAGGAAATAACCAAAAAAATTAGTAACAATGATGATGATGAGAATGCGTTTATTCAGTAGTCTACATGACTAAGTGAGGCTAGTCAATCCCCACCAAGACAAGCCAGAACAAATAATTAACAATCACACAGCACAATGCAAGCTTTTCGCTATAAAATGCCAAAACTACCTTCCAAACTCCAAGTTTTTGATGCCTCCATCTCAAATACTCGTTCTTGACAATTAAATACAAATTATCAAGCCCGTAGCTACATCCCACCATCTTTTCCATCACCGAATCGTCATGAAACTGTTTCCCTTACCTTATATCAATTGCTAAAGCTTAAAACAAAAACCTTATTGACTAGTCTAAATGATAATGATGAAGATGATGATGCCCTTATTGACTAGTCTAAATGACTAACTGAGACTGCAATCAAACCTCACAAAGACAAGCCACGACACACGACACTCATTCAACAACCACACAATTCAAGCTGTTCGCTCTAAAATTGCAAAACAGCCTTCTGTCTCAAATGCCTGTTCTCACGAATGAAATACGATTTATCTAACCCCGTACCTACCACCCACCATTTTTCCCAACACCCAATTCTCACCACACGTTTTCCTCACCTTTGTGATCAATTCCAATCAAACGTCACAGCTTAAACCCCAATCCTAACTACACAGCTGCCACTCAAAAATGATTAGCAATGCAGACTTATCCCCCACACTAGCACCACCATCAATACTCGCTCTCATGCTTCAACACCGATCCTCCAAAACCAACTCACAATTCGAAACACAACAAAACCTCGTTTTCTCCGAAAATCTCCAAAGCAAAGCTTAATTGAAAAAGCAAAACAACAAAAACAAAATTAAAGACAAATCGCATTGAATTCGCCGCACGGCCACATTCACGCAAAGTAGTAGTAGTCGCGGCGAGGAAAGACCTGGCGCAGCGACGGAGGAGGAGGAGGAGGAGGCGGCGGCGGCGGCGGCTACTCGAAGGGGTTGGGGGGAAGGGCGGGGTCTGAGGGCCCGCCGCGAGTTGAGGAGAAAGAGGCGGTGCTGTGGCGGCGGGGAGAATGCGGCGGATGAAGGAGCGGCGACGGAGGTGACACGGTGAGTCGGGACGGGACCAAGTCCGAGTCCTATCTTGGTAGCAGCCATTGGGCTCTTTGAGACCATACAAACTGCATAAGCGACTTAAAACAGTTGAAGCGCTTTCTCTTATGTTTTCTGGTTACTGGAGCGTGCAACACACGCACTCCAACCAAATCCTTTCGCTGCAAAAATTTGGCTCCTTCTGCTATTAAATCGACCAGAATTTTTGTTCTTAGCCTCCGAAAATTTTCCAACACTAAATATTACCTTTTTTTTTTTTCTCACTAGATATTTCAACTCTGCTTCTGATATTTGTATTACTAAATCCTGTAAAAAGAAGCAAAAGCTATACTACATTTTTAACCTAAATCGTAGACCTTAAACCTTGTATGTTTTCTTTTTTTTATAAAAAATTGTTAAATAAATATTAAATAACAATATCAATACAATTTTAATTATTATTTTTAAAAAATAGATGAATTGAAAAGTTAAAGTATGAAATAAGGTACTTTTATTTCTAGTTTTCGGGGTAAAAAGTTGAATATGGTATTAGTGAAGAACAAAGAAAAAACTAAATTAATTTTTTTTATTAAAACAAGCATGAATTAGTTAAAAATGATAGTTATTTAAATTATACAATACGAGAAGCATAAGGAAAATGTTGTTCAATGTGTGTTTACGGATAATATACTGGTAACATTCAATATCATTCAATTATTAATAATTCATAAAAGATTAAAAGATTATATACTAAATTTAATCCAAAATCTTAAAATAATATATATATATATATATATATTATATTTTTATGTATTATTTAACCTTTTTATTTTTATTTAATATTAAACTTAAATTCGAACTGAATTTACGATAATCTTGTTTTTAAGTGAGATTATTTCACATTGATATATTTTATGTCAAATGGATTCATACGATATTATTATAAATCAGTCACTTCGAATTGAATGATCAATTTTGAAATCACTCTTTAGTTATTTGAAAAATACATTAGAAAATTCAACATCAATAAATCATGACCAAATATATATAATAGACCACAATATTGAAAAGTCCTGCGCTATGGAACCTATAAGATTAGATTATAAATTATTCAACCTAAGATTAGATTATAAATTATTGATAACTAAAGTCTTCAAACTTGAGGCTTTTCAGAAGCTCATAAAAATGATAAGAGTGGTTGATTTCAATTAGAGGTGTCAAAAGTAAATCAACTTAACTTATGTGAAATGAGTTAAAAATAAGACAATTTAACTTAATTTACATTTTGATGAACAAAAAGTTTTGTAACCTAGTTTTATCTATCTTAGGATGGTAAATTAAGTGAGTTGCATATCATTAAAATAGATTAATTCAACCCTCTTACATACGACAATACTATAAAGATGTTCATATATTTCACTAATATTAACCACAAATTAGAAAATGGTATTATAAAGGTATTCAGTTAAAAAAAATCAAAATGTTAATTTATATAATTAAAGAAACAAATAAATTAATTTCAGTTATAACTGGTCTTGAAAAAAAATAAAAAAAATGTCAACTTTCATATTTAAAATTACAGTAAACAGTTACAATGAAAAAATTACTAAAATATATTGTTTGTGCATTACGAGTTGGTCCATCTCCAACACAATGTTTACCTAGTTAACCCACTGATAAGTGAATTAAACTAATTTAACTTAGATTTATAAAAACTATTTTTTTTTCAGTCTAATCATAAACACACAGTGAATTAAGTTAGATTATTAGTTTATACTTATTTTGACACCTAGTTTAGATGAAGAAAATAAATTTTCCAAGCTCCATATATTTTATTATTATTTCTTTTAGTTTTAAAACTGTAATCATTTTTTCTAACACAAAATAGAAGATGAGAGAGTAATATCAATTTCTCTAATAAACGACAATAAGTAAAAGACATAGAAAAGACAGCCAATAATTCAATCCTAATTCACCTTATCCAAAGACTAGGATCAATCCTCAGCAACCTATACAAATTTACGCTCTAACGAAATTATATAAACATTATTACATGTATTTAACTCAATATATTTAGAGTTATCTAAGTATTTGTTTTGAATCTTCAAATAAATAATTAAGTAAAACATTGTTTAGCCAAACCTCTTTAAACTCTAAATAGATCAGAAAGAAATACATACAACAGTAACCATAATCAAATAAATTATAAATAATACAAAAAAAAAAATTTGCATTGCATTCCCAGCGGTTTTTGGAACCCCGGTTAGTTCTGACGACTTTCAAACCCTCTACAAATATTGGGAATTTTTCAAAACTTCTGGAAATACCGGCGGTTTCTCAAAACCCCTAAAAATATTGGCGGTTTCTCAAAATTCCTAGAAATACCAACGGTTTCTTAAAACCTCCGGAAATACCGGCGATTTTTCAAAACCTTCGAAAATACCGGCGGTTTTTCAAAAACTCCTGGAAATAGCTGTAGTTAGAGAAAAAAACCACCGGTAACTTAGTGACGCTGTTTTTCTCAGTGATTTTTTGTAACAACGACAACTGTATTTTTTAAGGGTTAAAACCACCAGAAATGTTAAAAAAAATCCTGCTAAAATTTAATATTTTTGTAGTGTAACGTGTTAAAAGAATATAAATGAATACATTGAGTATGTTGTAATGAGTCATTATCGATACATAAATTAACTAGTGAAAAAATGTGAAGAAATTTTTGTTTTGAATAAATATATTTTTAGTTTAATTATTTAAATTTTGGATCACATTTAAAAATTTATGTTCATTACATTAAAATTAATTAATGATTGTTATCTTGATGACAGATACATATGCATATATTACGCTATATATCATAAATTATATAAATTAGACTGAGCACCTTCTATATTAGAAAACATTTTTTT